GCTTTGTTTATGTGATTCTAAAGGGGTGGAAGGGCATGAGGAGTACTTACGACTGACAGGCGAAGGCCATCCCACAGATGGGGATACAGCGAAACACACCCTCCCAGCGTACCACATAGACCTGCCCTAGCCACCAGCCGCTGAGCAGCCCGTGTTTGAACGAGGAGAGCACCATCTGAGGGGAAGGAGGTGGGTAGGAGGGATTGGAAGTTACAGCCCAAACCAAATGAAAACAGGTGGAGGGAGAACATGAACAGCTGAGGGGAGGGGCTACATCCATGTCAGCTCACAGGTTTTGAGAGAAATGAATGAGGGGTGTAAAAATATATATATCTGAGAAAATGAAAAGAAAGAAATGAAAGAAAACTCCATACTGGAAAGAAAAAAACCTGCATGGCTTCAAAAAACAATAATAAAAATGTGGCTCACGTAAATGAATGATAAATGAATCTATAAAAATATCTCAGGTTTTTCCACCAGCACGTATTTCTCATGTCTTGCTCCTTTTATTGCCCTAAGAAAAATTCTACCACACCAAGCTTGCTCATACTGGGTGTGGGTCACAGAACGGAGAGCAGCAAAATTACCTTTTACTTCATTATGTCATTCCCCTCTGCCTTRTTACTACTGCCACCAAAGACACACAAACACACACAGAACTGAAATGGCTCAAACCAGAACTGAAGGTGAACGGAGGTGAAGTGGACTGAGCAGAATGTGCAGGTAGGCATGAGGAGGGTTTATGGGGTGTAAAGTTGCAGAGGAAACACGGGGCTTCCTTCACTCTCCACCCATCCCCCCACTGCCATTATGGTGGGGTTACTTTTTTTTGGGGGTGGGGGTGGGGGGTGTTACTTACGGGTGACAGCAGAAGGTTGTGGCGATWATGGGAAGGCACTGAATGACGCCCTTCCAGCGCCACAGGTGCACCTGCTTCAGCCAGGAGCCCGAGATTATGCCGTAGCGCAGAGACGACAACACTATCTACAGCACCAGAAGCAAAGAGAGCGGCGAGGAGGTGGGGTGGGAGTGCACACACAAAAGGTGCAAAGGGTGGGAGAGGTAAAGGGGAGTGGGAAGGGCAGGACAAAGGAGGGAAAAAAAAGAAGAGGAAAACAACAAGTGGAGTTATATAATAAAAAGTGATGAAAGAGGGGATGGATTAAGGGTAGGATGGAAGGAGGGAGGGTAGGAGATACATCACTGTTAGAGGGTCAGGGGTCTGGCCAGGGTCGGGCCTGGATCTACAGCTGAACACAACACACCACTGTCCTAGGTTATCAACATGCTTCACAAGTCAAAGGACACACACAGAATACAAATGGCACTTGGAAGACTTTGGAAGCAGCACTGCAGTTCAATAAAACATGAATTGTACACACATAAATATATATGTGTGTGTGTGTGCACATTTAAAGAGTAAATCAAATAAATCATAAGAGACAAAAAACGGCTGCTGTACTATAAGATTCAATGTGGCATCAACTGCATTATGATTTGTCTGGTTTTAGACTGTCTTGTTGTTTTAAAGAAACTGACATTCAGCACTTATGATTTATTCAGTCCTTATGATTGGTCGGTTAAAAAAGCTGGTATGAAAAAAACCAAGCAACTTCAGTCCCTCCTTTAAGACTTCAAACATCAAATGTCACACTAGTGTCGATTCTTGGTTTCTGCCCTACTTTAACATCTCATTGGGCCTCATGTAAGAACCGTTCGAACAGAGTTGTTCTTAAGTTGTGCGTACGAGTGATTTAGGAGAACTTGTGGCAATTTTTTTTTTATATTGTAAGATCCTCTTCAGATACGAACAAAATTCACGAGTGGTCCAGAGCTGTTGTATATTTTACGAGCAGTCAGTCTGCTGTTATCCAGACGGGTTTTCTTCACTAATAACTTTATATTTCATTAGTTTGAAGATATTTAGAGTTGAAAATAAATCACACTCCATAATTATGTTGACAATAGGTTATTCTGCTTGAATTATAATTTTAAATGAATAATCTAGAATAACAACATAAATTGGTTAGATTAAATTAAATTGGCTACGAATGCTGTTGTATAACACTACAATTATATGAAGATCTCAAACTACAAACCAATTTAAATTATGCATTAATAAAAGTTTGGAGTCATTTTAAAATGCTTTTTTTGGGTGTGGGGAGGGGGGTAGCGGTGCACGACTGCTTTTCTTCTGAATAAATGAAAACTAGGTAACACAGGTGTTTACACTTATATTAAAAATATTTGACCAAAGGAAAACTCGAGCAGGACTAGRGAGAGATGAATATGATTTAGATTTTTATTTCTGTGTCTGTATACGACCCAAAGGAGACACGACATTAACAGCAGTCGTCATTTCATTCCTCGGCTTTAGCAGCTCCTTTAATTCCACAGCTGACGCTGCTAAAAATTACATTTTCTTTTCTGGATCTCTGAGAGCAGGACTTCAATCTCTGAACTCGTAAAGTTCTTCTTTTTACCTTTCACTGTCATTTTCATAAATGGACACTTCCTGGTATGTGGGGCAGGAACATACTGTATAACCTTTTATGGTGATTTTAAGGTGGCAAATATGCTAATCTCTCCTCCTGATACACATTCATAAGTTTACGYAGCTCATTTACACACTTTTCCTGAAGATAAAAGAGTTTGTTGAATCTGACGTGACATGTTCGTACGAACCCTTTGTACCAACAAAAGTAAGAGAAATTTAGGATAAGAATACGAACATGTTCTTTCATGAGGCCCATTATTTCTAAACCAACAGTGACAAGAATTCACATTGTCACTTACACTTGGCTACACAAAGAGTGATCTCCATAGGGCTACACAAAAAAAAAAAAAAAAAAATCCACTCATTTCTTAACATTTCGTAACAAATAGTGCAGCAGCTGTTCTGTCTGAAATGATTGAAGGTGGATTTGCTCTTTAAAAGCGGAGCAAGACAATAATGTGTTGGTAAGTAAACAGACGGATACAATGGCTCAARTAAGAAAACACAACACAGAATACAACAAATCATCATTAGTCCAGAACATCTAAGTAAAAGGTGGCAATTTTAAACTAAACATATAATAAGAAAATAGAGAAAAAACACATCATGTAAAAAAAAAAACTTTTACAAAAACAAAATGTGCTTAAAAAGCAATATGTTAGTGAAGAATGCTTCAAGAATATGACTTTTTACCTGTAAATGGACTGTGCTGGAAAACATTAATTTAAGTGGGTTTAATATTTAAACCCTTTTTTTTTTAAGCTTAAGCTACCATTTAAATTCTAAACTTACAGTTTTCACCTCCTTAATGTTGGTTTGTATTACAATTAATTCARTAAAAACGTCACTCAATCAAAGAAAATTAAGAAGCAAACTATCCTTTCTTTAGAAAAGTTAACTTTTAAGGACAATTTAGACTGGATCAAACAGGGTAGGGAGTCCAACATGTGATTTGTGAATCTTTCCAGAKATGAGAGCCTGTCTGACCCACACTACTATCTTATGAAGCGTCAGCAGAGTGTCTAGAATACAGAAAACAATTACAACTGCTTTATTAGAAGCTCAAAATAAATTAATCTTTATTAGTGCAAATCATAAATGCACCGCTACTTTGCAGCTTGACCGTTTTTGATCTGTTATAGAGTATTAGAGTGATGAATCATTTTTTTATTTTAGTGATAATATGATCCCTTAAAATCACAGGCTGAGCAGCATCTTTGCTGCAGCTTATTCACATGCACGACACACACAGTGCAGCCGAGAGACGGCGGGCTCACCGTGAACATGAAGAGGGTGTAGAACATGAGCGCCATGGCTGAAAAGGACTGGATGGAGGACATCATGTTCCTCTGCAGGCTCAGAGGCAGGACGATGAACAGCGACACGGCGATCAGCAGCAGCACGCGAAAACTGCCCGTCACCTTCACAGAAGACGAGCGGACATGATGACAAACTCCTTTTTCAGGAGACAAAGCTGTACGCAACACTAGTAAAGAAAAAAAACTGATTCACTAACAAATAAAACTAATCTCAAACCTGCAAACCCAACAGCTGAGCAAAGAAATTTGAGCCCAAGTCAGCGATGACAACGTAGAAGGCAATGCAGGTCCCCAGCATCAAACCGATCATACTACAGAAAGAGAAAGGTTTCAACTTATCACGTCTATGATTTGGCATATACATTTCCTCTTTTACCTTTTAACTGCTGTTCTTTATATTTTAAAACTGCTACTTGATATTTAAAGAAATGTAAGCTCTTATTCTAGTTTTCTCACAGAATAAAAAAGTGCTGCATCTAAACAACAACAACTTGCCTTGTTTCCACCAGAGTTTTTCCCGGTTTCCCATAAGCATGGAAAGCTGCARGGATCAAAGAGGTGTCAGTGTGAACGTCACCAGGACAACCAGAAACAAGTGGCCTAAAATGTTGTCACGGGTAGAACTAATATTTAACCACAAGACTAAAGCTTCATCTTTAAATGAGTCGTGTTTGTTTTGACTTTACTCACCCAGGCCAGCGTAGGTCCTTCGTTTGGTGGAGCTGGCTGTGTTGACCAGGAACATGCAGGACTTGTGGGTCATCCAGGAACAGAAGAACAGCAGGAAAGTTCCCAGCACTATCCCACACTGAACAGACAGAACAAGAGTTAAKCATGTTTGTCAAAGAAAAGCACACAAAAATAACTTGTTTACCAGTAGGGGAAAAAAAAAAACTGATCATTTCAGAAATGATCAACGATTGGCCCRGTCACCTGGTGGTTTGTTGCTAGTGCTACATGAGATGCGTCGAAACAGTTTAAGTTCATAAAGTACCCAAACATGTGTGTTAGAATATGTATTTCTAATTTCTTCAGTAGTTCAAACGGATTATCCGCTGGCAGCGTTACAGAACAAATGTTTTGCTTTGGGACAAATTCTTGAAAAGAAAAAGTCTAATTAAAAGTGATTATTGCCAGAGAATCGGCGCCTAACTCTTTAAACGAACAACGCATGTCTAATTTTATCCTCCTAATATAAAAACAAACTGAAAGAGGAAGTAGGCAGATAAAACGTGTCACAAGGAAAACATTCATTATGAGAGAATAGGGCTCTGAAAGCTCACTGTTCTATTTTGTCCTGTTTTAGACGCTCAAGTTTAATAATTTATGGGTTTTTTTTTCTTATAGAGACTAGGGCTGTGTATTGGCAAGAATTTGGCGATACGATACATATCATGACAGAGGGGTCACGATACGATAT